CTGGCTGACTCATGTAAACATCCTCAGCCAACTTTCCATTAAGGAAAGCGGTTTTGACATCCATTTGCCATATTTCATAGTCATGAAATGCAACTATGGCTAACAGAACCCTAATAGACTTAATCTTGGCCACTGGAGAAAAGGTCTCATCATAATCAACTCCCGGAGTTTGTGAGAAACCCTTTGCAACCAGTCGTGCCTTATAAGTGTGTACATTACCATCCATGTCGGTCTTCTTCTTGAAGTTCCATTTGCACCCTACAGTCTTACGACCTGGTACATTCTCAACCAAGTTCCAAACTTGATTGTCATACATGGACTGTATCTCGCTGCCCATTGCCTCTTTCCACTTGGCTGACTCAGGGCCTGCCATGGCTTCCGCGTAACTGTTAGGTTCATCCAGACCTATCAGTGTCTCATCACTGATAAGTGTCACCTTCCGCAGTAATATGCAATCTATAGTAATGCTCAGGTGCATTCCTAACCCTTGTGGAACGCCTTTAGAGGTACAGACTTGTCAATTGGCTCAACAGGAGTTTCCTCCTCAAGTTGAGTGCTAGGGTTTGAAGTTCCTTCACCACTTGACTCTTGAATTTCTTCAAGGTCAACTTGCCTCCCACTGTCTCCTTGGCTTATGAACTCTCTCTTTCGAAAGACAGCCCTCCTAGCTACAAAGACCACATTCTCACTAGGTCTGTAGAAGAGGTAACCAAAGGATTTCTATGGGTAGCCGATGAAAATACACCTCTCACTTCGAGGTTCGAGCTTATCATGAGTCTCGCGTCTCACGAAAGCCTCGCAACCCAAAATCTTAATGTGGTCTAGTTTGGGTACTTTACCAGTCCACATCTCATGAGGAGTTTTGGCAACTTTCTTTGTGGGAACTAGATTAAGGGGGTATGGGCGGCAGTCTCTACGGCATACCCCCAAAATGAGATTCGTAGCGAAGCTCGACTCATCATGGAACGAACCATATCCAACAAGGTTCGATTACGCCTCTCAGCTACACCATTCAACTGGTGTCCTGGGGGGTGTCAATTGTGAGACAATCCCACATTCCCTAAGATAGTCGAGGAACTCTGAACTAAGATACTCACCACCTCGATCAGATCGAAGCATCTTAATGTTCCTGCCCAATTGATTCTCGACTTCCTGTTTAAACTCTTTAAACCTCTCAAAAGTCTCTGACTTATGCGTGATTAAGTAGACATATCCATATCTACTGTAATCATCAGTAAAAGTCAAATAATAACGATTAGCATCCCTTGTGGCATGTTTGAAGGGCCCACACACATCCGTGTGTATAAGATCCAACAAACCTTCACCCCTCTCACAAGAACCTGTGAAGGGTGACTTTGTCATTTTTCCAAGTAAGCATGATTTGCAACTATCATCTGACTTTAGGTCAAATGACTCCAATACTCCATCTTTTTTGGAGTTGGCCTATGCGTTTCTTGCTTATATGTCCAAGACGACAATGCCATAATGATGCTTTATCCAAGTTATTATCATTAACAGAATCAATACACAATACATTATTTCCTAAGTTATCAACCACATATACAGTTTCATACACACCATCACAAGGTAATGCTTTAAAATAAAGAACATTATTAAAGAAAGCATTAATCGAACCAACTTCATTATCAAATGAAAAGGTGAAACCTTGTTTATACAATGCATGAAAGGAAATAATATTTCTTGCCATTTCTGGCGAATAACAACATTTATTCAAATCTAAACTAAACCCACTAGTTAGCGATAAAGTATAAACTCCAATCTTGGTGACAGGTAAAGCTTTCCTATTCCACATGATTAAGTTTATTCTTCCATGCTCCACATTCTCACTTCTTCTTAGTCCCTGCAAATCAGAACAGATATGAATACCACAACCGGTATCAAGGACCCAAGAGTAGAATGGGGTGAGTTATTAGATAAGATAGTGTAAATACCTGCATGGTTGGGTTTAACTTTCCCATCCTTCACATCTTGCTGGTACTTTGGGCAGTTCCGCTTCCAATGTGACTTTTCATGGCAATAGAAGCATTCAGCCTCTTTAGGGTCAGAAGAAGGAGTGACGAAACCTTTCTTGGTTCCACTTGAAGAAGAGCCATCAAGGGTCCTAGCCTTGGTACCCTTCAAAGAGCTCTTCCTCTTCTTCCCTCGGCCTTTCCCGATTGCCCAAACCGGGGCGGAGTTTGGAGTAGGAGTGTTAACAACCGACTTACCCTTAAGACCTATTTCTGCGGTCTTGAGGAGTCCCTGAAGTTTGCTGAGTGTGACCTCTTCCTTATTCATGTGATATGTCATGCGGAATTGATCATAGCACGATGGTAAGGAGTGCAAAATGATATCTATTGCAAGCTCCTCAGGGAAGTTCACATTAAGCTTCAGCAACCGATCCACATACCTTTGCATTTTCTGCATGTGGCTCGTGACGGATTCCCCGTCCTTCATCATGGTTGTTATGATAGAGCATATGATTTCATACCTCTCTTGTCGTGCACTTTGATGGTATCTTTCCATCAGATCTTGGTGCATTTCAAAAGGGTAGAAGTCCTCATAGGACTTTTGGAGTTCCGCTGTCATGGTGGCCAACATGATGCATGCCACTTTTGTAGCATCCCTTTCATGTGCCCGGAAGTCAGCGATCTCCTGGGGAGTTGCAGTGGTCTCATCAATCTCCTGAAGCTCCTTGTCAAGGACATATTCTTTGTCCTCGTAGCGGGTAATCATCCTGATGTTTCTGATCCATTCATTGAAGTTGGATCCATCAAAAATGACTTTCCCACACAAGTTCATAAGGGTAAAGGAGCCATTAGGATTAGAGCCAGAAGCAGCATTGTTTGAAGACATCTGAAAGAAGAGAACAAGATGAGTTTAGATATTAAGAGAGTCCTTAATAAAACACCCAAATGTAATATTAAGGCTAGGATCCAATCACAATATATTATAACTTAGAAGAGGTATGTCGTAATCCAAGCTATAACATATTTGAAAGGTAGGTGAATGACGATTCACCAATTTCCACCATGAAAAACGAAATATAGATATTAGGTTTTTAATTGGTTCTTAGAAATTCCTAGATTCTTTTGAGATTCAATGAAGTTTTTTTCAAAGGCATGTTTCAATCTCGAGTGCGCCCTCCAAGTTTTGTGACTGGGATACCGAGGATCACAAAACGAGGTGTGAAGTAACCATGCAAATCACTTGGTACCCTTAAGTTTATCACTCAATCGATGTGCCGGTAAACCACACACGCTCCACCGATACTATGATAAACCTTAAGTCACCCTTTACCTACCTTGTTAAGTCCAAGTTAGTGTGCCGGTTAACCACACACGCTCCACCAACAACTTAAACAAAGTGTAAAGTGTAATTTCATGGATTAGCACCTTATTCACATTTTCCTAAAGTAACTAAAATTGGGAATTTAATAAAAGCATTTAGTTACTTTATAATATTCATCATACTTTTAATGAGAATTTATAAGTCCTTGTCCTACCCGTTCGGCTAACAACCCTCCACCGATCAAGGAAGCGGTGGGTGAGAGTGGACACCCATTAAGTTGCCATTTTATAGGCAACAACCTTATACCCCCCTTATAGACCGGCTTCGTGAATGAGGCGTACTAGCGGTAAGACGACTTGATCTTATACATATATATATTAGTAACTTATAATATTATAAAGTATAAGGGTTGAATTTTAACTTTTAAAATTCTAAGGGTTGGAACTAAAGTTTTAATCAAGACTTTACTTGTTCCAAAACTTGAGGGCAAGTTTTGTAAACTTCAAAAACTTTTCATTTCTTATAACTTATGAATTAATTGAGTAATAAAAATGAAGACTCTTCATTTTTATAACTCTTGTGTTCTTTTAATGGCTTTAATAAAAGTGAGACTTTTGGTTTTCCATAACTTGAGAACAAGTTATGGACTCCATTAAAACACATTATGATCATGAATTAAACTACCATGAAGGTTACAAACAATTCCTATGATCATCTAATCTTCGTAAGTTCAAGAACATGAATATGAACACTTTCAAGAATCAAAAATTACACTTAAAAAAACTTGTAATTTTGATAATTGTCATTGTAAATGGATTAGCATAAACATTACACCATCTAAAACAAGTCTTAAAACATCAAAACAGTTTAGGATAATGTTTCTAGTCCATTTCCAAAAACAAATGTGCAAACTTTCATACGAGCAGAAAACAGAAAAACAATTTTTTTCAAGCAGTTTACATAAAAAAAAACAACAACAAACAAACCTAGGCCCTGATACCACTGATGGGTTTTGAGCATTCTAACACTTCCTAAGTGTACATGCAACCCTAATAACCTTGGATTTATGTTTATCTAATTATCATGCAAAGTTGAATTCCAAGGTTATATTCATATCTAGCATACATGGGGAACAAATTTTAACTTGCATGAAAGATAGAATAACTTACCTTGTTGTTGCTTATGATCCTTGAAACCTTGTGAGCCTAGCACCCCAAGTGTGATGCCTCAAATGCTTCACACAACACCAAATGCTTTTGGAATGACTTTAGAGAGAATACACACTTCTAAAATCGGCCTAGCCCTCTTGTTTCTTATGTGTCCCCGATTTTGGTGGAGAATGGGTTTCTTATATAGTGTTGACACATCTAGGGTTACACCATGTAAACCCTAATGTGTCATGACTCTTCATTTCCATGACCCATGGGTTTGTAACTCCCATGGAGCATCCTATGGGTGGAACCCAACTTGATAATCCATGGAGCCTCTTAGCCCACTATATAAGATATGGAAGATTTACATAATCTATCCATATATTTAATTAGTTATCTTTTGATCACTTAATTAATTCTAAATTAATTCTTGATCAAACTATATAATAAATAATATTTCTCTCATTTTAGTTTATCCAATTGCATGGTGCCATGCAACCCAAATGGACCAAGTTGGGTCAAGTACATACCAGAAATAGTTATGGACTTAGACATTGCATGCCATGCAACCATAAGGTTGACATCAACACACTTCTCGCAAAGATATATGAATCTCTTGCTGGAAAGAAACCTGAGTCGCACTGTAAGGTCAATTTAATTAAAAGTCTTGAAGAGAAGTTGGGATCAAAAAGATATTTGTTTGTTCTTGATGACGTTTGGGTTGAAGAGAGAGCATATTGGGAAGCATTTGAGAGTTGTATGCTAAATGTAAACTCACAAAATGGAAGTGGCATTCTTGTCACTACACGGAAACTTGAAATCGAAACTACTGGAATGAAGGCTGATTCGTGTCTTTTAAATGGTCTTTCTGATGATCATTGTTGGGACATCTTTAAAGAAAGAGTGTTTGTGGCAGGCACATCACCCTCTCCAGAACTGGAGGCGATAGGCCGTGAGATTGTAAAAAAATGTGGTGGTTTACCATTGTTATTAAATGTAACAGGTGGCATGTTGGCAAATTACAATGATGATAAAGAAAAATGGTTGTCCATAAAAAATAGCAAGGTTTGGGATCTACAAGAAGAAAGGGATAGAGTTCAAAAGAGTTTGGCACTGAGCTTTGATAATCTCCCCAATTCTATTGTGAAGCAATGCTTTGCATATTGTTCCATATTTAAGAAAGATAAGGTTATCGAAAGGGAAGAACTGGTCCGGCTTTTGATGGATTTAGGATTGATTCAAGCGGATGAGGAAAGAAACAAGGAGATGGAAGCTGTGGGAAATAATATTTTTCAAATTTTGGTCAGCAATTCGTTGCTCCAAGATGTTGAAAGGGATGAGTATGGTCGCGTTGATAATTGTAGCATGCATGAAATGGTGCATGATCTGTCATTATCACTTTCAAATCATGAAAGCTTATGTTTGGTGGATGCGACAAATGATGATATTGCATGTATACCTCAGTTTAAACATCTCTCTTTTTACCAAGATCAGAATGAGTACGATGAATTGAAAGCCAATGTTTCTATGTTCGTGGAAAGGAATACACTGGCTAGAACTTTGCATACATTGTTTATCAAAGTTGAAGCCGAGAAGAAACTTTCATTTTAAACATCTCTCTTTTTACCAAGATCAGAATGAGTACGATGAATTGAAAGCCAATGTTTCTATGTTCGTGGAAAGGAATACACTGGCTAGAACTTTGCATACATTGTTTATCAAAGTTGAAGCCGAGAAGAAACTTTCATTTCAACGATTAAAGTGCATACGCATTCTAAAACTCAAGGGAGATAGTATTGAGAAGTTAGACGATTCAATTGGAGGGTTGGTGCATCTCAGGTATCTTAATTTATCATCAACGGAGATACGTGTTCTTCCTGAATCTATTGGTAAATTGTACCACTTGCAAACTCTGAAGTTGCCTAATCGCATTGAGCAGTTTCCAGAAACCATGAGAAATTTGATAAGCCCGCGGTATCTTAAGTGTGACGAAAATGTTTCCGCGAGTATTGTGGGACAATTGACTTCTCTTCGAACATTTACACATTCCTTCAAAGTGCTTAAAAGGAAGGGACATAGTATTGAAGAGCTACGTCATTTGAATAAACTCAGTGGAAGCCTCTTTATTTTCACATCTAGAGAACGTCTGTAGCAAGGAGGAAGCTAGCAAGGCAGATTTATCTAGCAAGAAAAATTTATATAATATTCATTTCAAATGGAGCGAGGATGAGCAAGGCGCCAACCGAATTGACAAGGATGTATTGGAAGGCTTGCAACCCCCTAGAGATGTAAAAACATTGACAATTAAGAATTTTTCTGGTGATAATTTTCCAAATTGGGTAATCAAGATGGTGATCCACGTCGAAGGGAAATGGACGCTCCTTGATAAGCTGATGGATATCATATTATCTGACTATAGAAGCTGCCTCTCTCTTCCAACGCTTGAGCACCTACCACATCTACGACATCTTTGGTTGCAGAATATGGACAGATTGACATGCTTAAGCACTTTCGATGGTACTGGATTAACAAAGCCTTTGCCTCCATCCTTGACATCGCTCCTACTATATCGCATGAGAAGATTGGAAAAGTGGATAGATGGAGCACCCAACAGCTCAAAAATGATATAGCTCTGAAGCTTGTGCATTCGTGGGTGTCCAAAAATTATTCACTTAGATGAATGCCATCCCCATCCTCTTGTTTCCTTACAGATTAGAGATTGCAAGGGACTGGTGTCCATTAAGAGCATGCATGGCCTCACATCTCTCGTATCTTTAGAAATTTCCATGTGTCCTAGTCTTTTAGAAATAAGCAATTTTCCCAAACAGTGTTAATCTTTGAAGACTTTGGACATTACGCATTGCCTCAAACTGACTTCCTTGCCTCACAAAATGTTTGACTGTTATGCCTTCTTAAATGAGTTGGAACTTGGTTTGTTCTCGAAGGAGCTTGATTCTTTCCCGAGTCTCAAAGGCATCCAGAAGTTAAGGAACCACCTTCACTCTTTGTATTTGGGAGGTTGGTATCATTGGGAGTCAATTCCATAAGAAATACAACACCTCACCTAACTGACTTTTTTACGCATAAACAGATTCGGGATACAAGAACTGCCCAAGTGGTTAACCAACATGTCATCTATTCGAGACATGATTTTCTAAAATTGCAAGGGGCTAGATGAAGAAAAGGTTAAGCAGGGACCACCGCAAGAAGCAAATGTTGTCAGATTAGATAATTTGACTGTAAGTAGAGATGTTAATTAGTTATTTGGTACACTCCGCTTGTAATCAGGATCTAATTTTGATTTTGAAAAATATCCAATCTGGTTGTCAAAAGTCTCGACTTGAACTTATTGTGATAAAGGTACTATTAACGTTGCTCAAGAAATATATCATTGATATTATTGATTAAGTCTAGCAATTACCACTTACTATAATGATGATGATGAGGAAAAAAGCGACGAACCTTGAAATCCTTAGCCTCGGCCCAATCCTGACCCAATCACAACCGCTACCTCCCCAATCCCGGTCCCAGCCACCTCTAGAACCACAACTGTAGCAACAACATTTGCAGGCCCAACCCAAACAATAACAAGAGAAAAAATCTCAAGAACGTAATGTTGCCACTATCGAGCTTCCTGCTAATGTCAACAGTGAAAATGGTGTAATGGAAGAAGATATAGAAACAGAGACTGAAGAACCTGATGAAATTGTAGATGATTTACCACCCATAACCGAAGGCCAAGAAGCCTATTTCTATTGCTGGGGGTATTTGCCATTAGGTGTTTCCACGTCACATCTAGATAAAAACAATACCCAGGGTAACAAAAAGATGTGGACACCATTTTCACATATGTATAGTGCCTCAAGTAACGTCCATAACAAGAACCACTTAAATGGTAGTGCGATCCCGAAGATAATATTTTTGTCAACAAAAGTTTGGGGCCTGGTGTCCACCTTGATGATATAACCGATGATGTCTTCATACTTTCTATTTAAGGCAATAGCAACTATAAACAAAACAGAGATAGTAAAATTTTGTATTCTATTGGCTATACTTTTCAATAAAAAAAAAGTACATCATGTGACATAAACATATATAATACCTTTATGCCAACTCAGCACTTGGTCTTTATTATGTTTCTTGAGTGAAATGTGATGGAATTATTTATTTTTTATTCGTGTCATCTGATATACCCCGAAACTAAAACATATCAGTATTTTATACATTAATTCTCCCCTTGAATTTGATTTCTTTTGTAAGTCCTTTCCTATATGTATGGGTCAACAATCGGACCATTCCACTATGTAGATACATGTACCTGTGTAAGTATGATGAAAAAGAAAAATAAACAACAGGAAAAAACACACACACACACACCAAGATAACACCCAGCTAGTTGAACACATCATGAAAGATAACGCCACAAAAAATACCATATGTACACGAGTACGTCGAAATTCATTTCCACCTTATTTCTAGATCAAGAAAATAAGAATCTTTTTCATCCAATAATACTTCCTGCTGTACACAATAAATTTAGTCCAAATTCATTAATTGTCATATCAATTTAATTAAATCAAACACCCTAAACAATAACAACTCCTTCGTTTTTATAATATAATGTTTACCTTACAAAATGGTTATGTCCTATGTACCGAAAACAATGTAAAAGCATAGGTGATATATGTTGAAAGCTTTACCTCATATTTGTAAGGCAGACGAAGATGATGATGAGCTCTGCTCAAGAAATTCACAAGTATGGATAATAATAGGTTCGAAAAAATTAACCTTAAAAAAGAATAAAAATTATGATTGAAATTTTGAATACAAATCTACTTTATTGTTATGTTAGGAAAATGGATATATCCTCTCTTGAAGTGATTATTAATTAATATGTTGGTCTAGAATTAATTTGCATTAATTTGGTGATCAAGAGATATTAATTGAACTTAGGGGACTGGATTGCAATTATTGGATAATTGAATTGTGGGTTGTGAAACCCCATGGATTATAAGGTGGACGAAAATAAGAGGGGAGCCCATCTCATTTTCGTCCAAGGCCTTAATTCTAGAAGGTTCATTGGATTGCTTAAGGCCTAAGCTATCCAATTAGGGTTTTGACTGAAACCCTAGCGGGTTCATTGGCCTTAATTCTAGAAGGTTCATTGGAATGCTTAAGGCCTAATCAAAACTTTGGCTTTTTTTCCAGATGTCTACTCAAAACAACGCTTCAGGCTCCAACGCTTCTGGCTCCTTCTCCCTAATGAACTTATGTGGGAGAGTGATCTTTAACGGAAACAATTTTAACGATTGGATTCACAACATAAGGATGGTCACAAGATATGAGGACAAAGAATATGTTCTCGATAAGGAGCTCAAGGAGGTTGACCTTAACACTGCTACTCCAGAAGAGATTGCTGCATATGAGGCACATGAGAGAGATGCAATGAAAGTACATTGCATCATGCTCGCTACTATAACTCCAAAACTCCAGAAGTCCTATGAGGACTTCTATCCCTATGAGATGCACCAGGACTTGATGGAGAGGTACCATCAGAGTGTCAGGAAAGAGAGGTATGAGATCATTGTCTCGATGATCACTACCAAGATGAAGGACAGAGAGTTTGTCACGACCTACCTGCAACGCATGCAGCGCTATGTGGATCATTTGCTGAAATTTAACGTGAATTTTGATGAGGAATTGGATATCGATATAGTCTTGCACTCGTTACCTAGTTGTTATGATCAGTTCAAAATGACTTATAATTTGAACAAAGAGGAAGTCACGTTGAGTCAACTTCAAGGCTAGCTGAGAAACATTGAAAGTGGATTAAAGAGAAAAAAGTGTTAAATCCACTCCTATTGCTACTGCTCCAGTCCTGGCCATTGGACATGGGAAGGGGAAAAAGAAGAAAGCTCCTTCAAAGCAAAACTGGAAGGGAAAATCTCATAAAGGGTCTTCTAGTAGTGGACCCAAAGGAAATCCAGTTCTGCTCCCCCTCTGGCCTCATATCCAAAGGAGGCAACGTGCTTCTACTACCAAGACAAGGGGTATTGGAAAAGAAGTTGCCCCAAATAATTGTAGGATATTAAGGATGGCAAGATCAAGCCTACCTCGGCAGGTATTTACACTATTCAATCTAAAAAATCATCGCATTCTAATTCTTGGGTCCTTGATACAGGATGTGGTTTTCACATTTGCTCTGACTTGTAGGGACTAAAAGAATGTAGGGATATGGAGCATGGGAAGATGAACCTGATAATGGGCAATAGGAGATCGTCACATGTTACCAAGATCGGCGTTTATTCTTTAGTGCTTAGTAGTGGGTTAAGTTTAGATTTAAATAATTGTTGCTACTCGTCAGAAATGACAAGGAATATTATTTCATTCCATGGTTTGTACATACAAGGTTTTAGATATTCTTACAATAATGAGAATGGTTCTATTCATGCTTATTATAATGTTGTAATTTATTTTGAAGTATTGCCTTGTGATGGTGTATATGAAACTGTGACGGTTGTAGACAATTTAGGAAATAGTGTGTTACAAATTGATGCGTCTAATGGTTAGACAAAGCATGCTTGTGGCATTGTCGTCTTGGACATGTCAACAAGAAGCGTATTGCCCAACTCCAAAAGGGCGGAGTGTTGGAATCATTTGACTTAAGGTCGGATGATACATGTGAGTCTTCCGTTGCTAAATTTCTTGTTTTTGAAACTAGTTTTTGAATAAAAACCCAACATACACAATAAATTTAGTCCAAATTCATTAATTGTCGGTATCAATTTAATTAAAACAAACACCCTAAACAATAACAACTCCTTCATTTTTATAATATAATGTTTACCTTATAAAATGTTTATGTCATATGTAGCAAAAACAATGTAAAAGCATAGGCGATATGCATTGGAAGCTTTACCTCATATTTGTAAGGCTGACTAAGATGTTGATGAGCTCTGCTCAAGAAATTCACAAGTACAGATAAAATTAGGTTCGAAAAATTTAACCTTAAAAATGAATAAGTATTAGGATTGTAACTTTAATATAAATCTACTTTATTGTTATGTTAGGCAAATCAAGTAATATAGTCTCTTGTCTTCCCTTTTTTAAAATAAACCAAAAAAACACTTAAATAAGCTTAATAAAGCTCGACTACATGATCCAAAGCCATATTGTTAATGCTAACTAGCATATGAAATAGGATATAACTTGTGTCATTGAAAGAACCCCTTTCTAAACTTTCATATTTCTGAAAGACCCAAACTTTCATACTTGACAATTCTTACTCCAAAACATGCTACATGCAAATTTATAAAACAATATTTTACATTGATAAAGTGATTACAAAAGACTGGATACAAACCGACTAAGTTTTAATATTTTAAATAACTACCCAGGATATTGTAATTTTATACAAACATAAACCGAAGTACAAAAGTAATAGTACAAACTATTCTACATCTTCCGATAGTATATAACCATACTGGTTACTTATCTCCTGCAATTGTTAAACACTGAGAGGGGTAAGCGGTGACGCTTACTGAGTTCAATAATAGATACAATATAACGTTATGCTATATATATAATTCAATATGGCAGAAGCAAAGAGGAACAAGGAACAACAAAGGCA